CTGCAGAGGCCAGTCTGGGGGACCTCGGTATCGAGCAGGGTCTTGTACTTCAGGGAGCTGCTGCAAAGCTGGGAACACTGAACAGAGTTCAGATCAGAACAAAAGTGTCGGCTGCGTTTAGGCACCGAGTTACACAAAACATGCATAGCTGTAGTCCTAAGCAATGTGTGTCTCAGCTTGGCCAGATAGAGCCCTCAGAGCAAAGCTGTGAAGAGCTTGGGCTGATCCTGACGCTCCTGTCATTAACAGAAAGGGTAAAGCTGGAACTGCCAACCAGCCATGGAATTGATTGTTTTCTATCAATTAAAAGCTCTTAAAATCTATAGGGTAGTTCCTATGATACAGCCAGGTTCTGGTGGCATCCCACCCCTCGGAAAGGAGAGCCTGGTCTGGTGTCTTAATGTGCTGGCATGGGGGGAATAAAAATCACACTTCTACTCATAAGTGGATCTTCTCTATGTTTGCAAATAAAAAGGGAATTTGTTTCATTTCCTGCAGCTCGGTCACTAGGAGCAATCAGTACTGAAAAGGAGGGCCTGAAGGGTGATTTTTTTTTTTCTTCTCCTTTTATCTCTTTTTATTGGATGTTTATTAGGAGGAGGAGGTAGTTCAGAGTATCTCTGCTTATAATGACCTTTCAAGTTATTTTTTAAAAAAACCAAAAAATCTGGACTTTGGGAAAGCTGGCTGCTTCTTGCCTTCCTTCTGGGATGCTAAGGGTACATTGGGTTATGGATGGACACGGCCCAGCGGAGTGCTACTCTCATCTCATCGAGGCCAAGAATGTAACTGGGCAGGTAGCACAAGCAGCCCCTTGGGTTACCTGAGGGTATGCATTTAGATTAAAAAAAAAAAAGGATGGAAAGTATCTGATCCTCAAACTTAATTGAAGAATGTAGGTCTCTATGATTTTATGGTGCTTACATGCTAGGGTTGTAAAACTCTAGTTATTTTATCAGCTAGAGAAGGCCAAAGTTAAGTCCTGGTGGCATCTATAGGGTTTAGCTCTGTCCCTGAGGGCGCAGCCTTCCAAAGGCTGATACTGGGAAATAGCTGCGCTGGAGTACCATGAAATTCCTGCCTCCTTGCTTCAGGTAGCTTTCAATAAGTACTGCTGATGGGCCTACTTTTGGGGAGTCCATAGGAAGCAAGTTTCTGTCTGCTTTTGTAGAAAAAAACAATGCCTGATTCATTTCAAGACCGGGGCGGCCCCACGCGTGTAGGTAAGACGCAGCGCTCAGGGTGGCTGCTTACGGGGGGCACTGCCTGCACAGGCAGAGAGCTTTGCAAGCAGAAGGGAAGATCGGCAGAGCACACGTGTGGTTGGATGCTCTAGAACGCTAGCTAATCTGCCTGGCCTGCGTGGAAGCTATAATTAAGGCTATTAATAGAAGTAAAATTAATATTAATATAAGTAAAATTCAGCAACAGTGTATTTCTTAAAGGAAACTGTGAATAGAGGTAGCAAGAGGCTGCAGCCTCTGGTGACAATAGGGTCGAAAGGTTGTTTCCACTGGCTGGAGGTGTTTTGCATCACTTACTGAAAACACGTCAAATAGTCATTTTGATGATACAAAATTGCTTTGAACTGACTGTTTCATTTTAAGCGATGTGATTTTCTAGGTGAATATTGTGGAGCAGGAATTTTCACTCCTGACTAAAACAGAACCCACCAAGAGAACATATTGGATGTGCAACTGTATTGTGAAAACTAAATCCATGAAAAACAGCTCTCGAGATTTCACATTTATTTCTAGGTAATTCCTACCATTTTTCAGAGGAGAAACAAGGTTCACCAGCAGCTGTGCAATTTCAGCCAAGTTCCCAGATGATCGAATAAACAAATGTGCTGCTGCCCAGCACCTTTCCTGCAAATGCGCTGCCGAGTCCCTCTGCTGCGTTAAACAGTAAGTGGAGAGGAAAGCAAGAGAATGAGTGATTTAGGCAAGGCAGAAAGCTCGCAAAGGAGCATTTTGCACTTTGCAGAGGTGGAAAACTGGGCTGCCTGTGCAGGGTCTGTGGCCGAGCATCCTTGGTTGCTCTCATTTTGGGGGTCCAGTCTGCATCCCTGGCTGTTCTAATCCCCTGATCACATCCCACTGTGGGGCTTCTTTTCCTAAATTCCTGCCATTGGTTCGGAACCTAGTGGCATAGAAATCTATTTAGGTGTGCTCCCTAAGAGCCTGCAGCTTCTTGATTTTCAGCTGGATAGAAATATCAAAGTGCTGAAGTTCCTTTGAGGAGCAGGTCTTGGATTCCGAAGGCAGAAGAAAGGTACTAGCAATGTTAAATGCATTTATATCTCAATGACAGCTCTTTGGAGATGCTTCAGGAAGGGTAATCCTAGTTCAAAAAATTGCAGTAGGAACAGTCAAGAGGGAAATATAATTTGTTCACAAAAAAATCAGCTTCTGCTTCTGGCTCAACAGCAGTTTCACCAGTTGAGGCGCAAAGGATGGGCTGTAGCTTGGACGAGCTGCTTGCAGAACCAGTAACATTTGCAGCCCTGAATTCAGTGAGATGCAGGGATTTCTCAGCACCGGGGCCAGCAGGACCTTCTGCCAGGGTGCGAGCGGGGCTCAGGGAGGGCAACCAGGGGTGGGGGGGCCCAGCTGCTGCCCCCCCTCCATTCCCTGGGAAGGGGGTGGCCATGCCGGAGGGGATGTGGGTGTGGGGCAACTCATCCCTTTTTCCAGGTCTCTGCAGAGACGGTGTAATATAT